TATTGGATTTGGGGTAAAACTCTTCAAGCAAGGCATGTTTAAATTCTTATAAGATTTATTGAATTTGGACCCAAAATGGCGTTATGGGCCAGAATATTGTAATATTTCAGGTTGGCAGTCGTGAACGTTTTATCCAATCATATCAATTCTAACATTCTATCGGGCAAGAAGTTCGGCAAATCAATCATGCATCGTGAAATGAATGATTTTTTACGTTTCTACTCTCGCGAGTATTCCCTATCTTGGTTACATTTACCTAGCTTACCCTTGTACTATATATACATCGCACGTAGTACTTCAAGTACTATTAATACTTCGAGTATGTTTTTTCTCAATTCTAGATATTATTCTAAAATAGTCTAAACCAGTCTATAAAATTATATCCGTAATTCATGGCCAACTGAACACTGATATTTACTTGTGAACATGTTGAATATACTTCAAATTTGTATGACGCAATGGATTAACAAAATTTAGAGAGCGAGTGTCGGCTGGTTGTGAAATATCACCTGTCGCAATACATATACACTATACGGTACTAGTAGTCCAATTTCCTATGTTATTACAAGAAAATTACCAGTTATTACAGGAGTCGCAATAGATTAATCCGTCGCAATGCATATACACTATACGGTATTAATATAGTCGTTCCGGTAATAGTAGTCTGGAGTGAATTGTACAGATCATACAATCTGGCATTCATTGGCGTGCCGATTATGTACGTTAAGACCTCCACGCCAATAAATAACGCAGTAGCTTCCTCCCCTAGGCCGCCAAGACAATGTATTGACGCAGTCAACAATGGCACTTCGAGGAGTTAATATCCGATGCTGGGGGGCATTGAGACTTTTGGGATGCTGTTCCCAACTTTGTTTTGGCGTTGGTGGATGGCAGATGGTAATGCACTCGTAACCTGTCCACAAAAAGACCTATTCGGATGGACCAATTCCCCCAGTGAGTGGGTGACACACCCACTCAATTGGTCAAAACCCACTCACTCAGGGAATTTGGTACTATTGACCTAAAACGTGCCTGAGTAAGTGGGTGGGACTAATTGCTTGCTACGATAAGTATAATCCTATCGTTAACGTGAAACACGAAGGCATACAACGTTGTACACCGTTAATCGTACCAACGGTGAATGCTACGTACTGTAGGGGAGGCAGTTTTTCACTAGTGGTGTTTTGGGGTTTTGCTCATGGATGTTCAGGTAGAGTTAGACATGGGGCTTCACTCGTGGTTAAATGGTGTGGTGGAGTTTTACTTACATGTTAGTGGGCATTACTGGATTGTTGCTTCATAGTCAAGCAGCCCAGTAAGTGTAATATCACTCCATCATAGCTAACGTAAAACAAGCAAACAAGCCGTGGGCCCTACCGTATGTTTGGGCGAAACGGCTCCCAAGAAAATGAAGGATGCTACTCCTCCGCCAAATCTTAGTATTATCTCAAACGGAATAGCCCACAGCATCCACCAGAGTATGCTGCATGCTGTGGGCTTAATCGCACATCAATACGTTGAATATTGTAGGAGGAGTAGCTTCCTTCATTTTGCACGGAAGCCAAAATCTTTCACATCGACGAAATGTCACCAAAAATGACATTCGATAATATTTTTATGACATCAAACAATAATAATACGTTCTGATAATCTCGGCGGGAATGTTTTTGAATTACTGAAATGCCACGAAAGGCACG